CCAAGATAAAGACCAAATCATCTGCAAAAGCTTGTAATTTATATTTCTGATCTTTTATCTCCAGCCCTTTGATCTCCACATCTTGTCTAATATTCCTGGCCAACACTTCCAATGTAAGAATAAATAACAAGGGAGACAATGGGCATCCCTGTCTTGTGCCTTTTTTAATATCGAAGTTATCTGTATAGTCTCCATTTAAAAGTATCTTCGCTGATTGTTTATTGTAAATTGCTTGAATTGCGTTTATAAAATTTTCACCAAAATCCATCACTCGCAGCTGATGAAACATAAATTGCCAATTAAGATTATCAAAGGTTTTTTGTGCATCCAAAAATATCAGTGCCATTTGTTTCCCCGGATGTTTTTCATAATATTCTAACACATTTAAAATAATTCTTAAATTGTTCTTTATCTGTCTTTTAGGCAGAAAACAATTTTGATCTGAATGGATAAATTCATTCAAAAATTTCAGTAATGAAGAATATTATTAACCAAGATGGCATCATTCAGATACTTCAAGATAGATATCTCAGCAAATCATGAAAAATCTTGGAATGCTAATTTAAGCACAAGCATTCTTTTTATCCAGATCACCAAATGTTTATATCTCCAAGTCCCTGTGATCTATTTTATATTCCAAACTTACTCTATCTACTTTTGTATCATGCAACACTACCATTAACATTCTGCTAATACAACCCAACAGAGAACATTTAATCTACGAGGGGGCCAACCCAACTTGTTACAAGCTTATTGTTCCTATGATCAAATGATATAGCCAGAAAGCTGAATGGAATGCCAAGGGATTCCAGAATATGGTGGTCATCCAAATACTTCCTTACCTGACTATCTAAATAGGCATAAACCAGCTTGACCCTGCCAGACAGGTACACATCTTTGGTAACTCCTCCATAGAAAGGAGTAGCAATCAGGAATGCTTCTGAAATAAAAAGAATAAAGCAATAACCTACTGCTGCTACTGATATTCCTTATATAACTGAGATCAGTTCAATTATTTATAAGCTTCGATCTGTACGTTAATTTCAGGATTAATTTTGATTCTGTAGTCTGGTGGTTTTAAACTCATTTCCACATCCCAAAGACAAATTTTTTTAATTTATCTTAGATTTGTATTTTGTATAATTGTTTTAACTGGCTGTAAGCCGCCCTGAGTCCTCCGGGAGAAGGGCGGGGTATAAATGAAATAAATCTAAATAAATCTAAATCTAAAATATACATTCCTAAATGGAATGGAAAAGGATTTTTTTAAATAAAAAAGCTACTCAAGAATTCAGTCAAATTAACAATAGTTTTTTAAGAGCCAAGGCAGGGCTAGCAATTTTATTTTCAGCTGGAAAAGTACACATTAGGTGGTTTTACTGGAAAAGCATTAAAGAGGATGGGAAGATGGTAGCTACATAGTTTGCCCACCCCTCTAGATGAAGTCTTACCCAGCTTCCCGAGTACAATTGTGTCAACTGTAACTCCCATCACACTCTATCATCATGGACATTAGCTTATGGAATGCTGTGCTAGGGCAATTCAAGCAGAAGCATATGAGAAGAAAGACTAATAGAACAGCCTCAAACTTTTTGATTCCAGTGAAAAATGTAATGTCAGCAGAGAGAAAGATAGATCTATTCCAAGAATCTCTTCCTGAGAAGGAAATGAGCACTCAATGCAGAGTCCATGAAAATATACTGTACACCTTTCTTCTTTTGGATTTAACTCCCACCCCCAAAAAAACCCTCTTGTGATTTCCTAGTTTATCACTTCTAGAGAACATTTAAAACAGTATATAATCCAAACAGAATTGATAAAGAGAAAAAGAATTAAATTTTATGAAGCTCTATACTCAAATTTAAGATGGGAATATCTATATAAACATGGGAATTCTGTGTTTTTTTCTGTTTTCCACTGTATTCTTGGATGGAGAATACTAGGTCAAATGTATTAATGTTGTACATATGAAGTAAAGCAGGATTTACTAAGAAAAAAAGAAATGACTTCCATTATATAATATATAGAGATACACCTACACAGATATTCTTTTTCCACAGAGTTCATGTCCTTTTGGTTCATAAATCATTGGCAGTTTACAAATACGGTAAATAAATATCTATGTATTTTGTGTTATCATTACATGACAGTATTTATGGATTAAACTGTCATAAATAAGGTTAAAAAAACCCTTTAATGTACCAATCACAGAAACTAATTAATCAAAGGTCTTCCCCAGATCTGCCCTGATGAATGAGAGCTATTCTGTACTATGTTAGACACAATATTTAAAAAAACCTAAGCAATTTCAGTCCTTTTCTGCAAAAATCCTGCTTTACTGCCCTCTAACAAACTTGTGTTTTAAATTGCTCCAGCTCACTTGCCTCCTGGATCACACAGAACCATAGCCAAACTAGAAAACAAAGATCCACAGCCATTCTGCAGAATCACCTAGAGAAAAGATATTCAGACAGATATTACTTTCTGGAGAGACTATTCTTCCAATAAAATTTCATTTATTCAGTTTGTGTCTAGGTATTTTATCCTCTGGATGGATAGGCTTCTGCCTTAATGTTCTCTTGGGTTTGAAGTATGCACATGTGTTATGTTAGTTGGCAGAAGCTAACTCAAGAATACATTAAGCTAGTCCACCCCAAGGGAAAAACATTTGTTTTCTTTTTGCATTGCTATAATAGATACATGTGTTGAAAAATTGGAGGGCACGGATGAGAGATTAGAAAACCTGTGACACAAAAATATAATCTCTGTTGTCTTCATCACTCTGCAATTTCTTAGTTGTTTCTTTTCCCAGCACCATCTACTTGCTTTCCACATACCCCTAACATAGTTCTCGGCTTATAACCGTAAGGCCAAAATTATGGTCATATATTTTGCTGGTTGTTAAGTGGGTCATCATGTCACCAATCCAATTTTACGATATCTTTTTGCAGCAGTTGTTATGCAAATGCAGCAATCATAAAGTAAAGCCATTATATTATTAAGCAAACATGGTGGTCCATAAGCAACCCCATTGTTCACAATGCACATTTTTTGCTGGAAACTGGGATGTTGTAAATCATAATCATGTGACCATAGGACACAGCAAATGGCCATAAATGCGGGCCAGCTGCCAAGTGTCCAAAATGCAATCCCATGACTATGGGGGTGGATGTCAGAACTTCAAATCCAGGTTGTAAGTACCTTTGGGTGGCTCCGTCAAAACTTTGAACAGTTATTATTAAATGACCGATTGTTAAGCAAGGAATACCTATATAGTTTTGACACCTAATGGTAGTCACTTACTGAAAATAAAACAAACTAAAAAATAGGTTGACTTACATTTTCTGCTTTGAGAGGTGCAGGGGCTTTGCTATAATAGGTCAAAAATCGAGCCACTTCCTCTAGCACACTGGAGAAGACACAAAAGCAATCAGAGTTTTCCAAGAGATATCTTCATTCCTCTCCAGGCTGGAAAATACAGATTCAGACTTTCTGACAAAAGAGGGTGAAGACTCTTGACCAAGGCTACTTACAACATATGGCCCTTCCAGTCAGGGTACTCCAGCAGGGAAGGATCTGTGAGTTTCACGGCACTTTGGGCCAGCTATCAACAATGAGAAGGAGAGGACAAAATTAGATAGATAGATAGATAGATAGATAGATAGATAGATAGATAGATAGATAGATAGATAGATAGAGATAGATAGATAGATAGATAGATAGATAGATAGATAGATAGATAGATAGATAGATAGATAGATAGATAGATAACCTTTATTGTCATTTTTTTACTGTGGGCACAATGGCACACATTAAAAATGAAATTTAGTTGCTTGCTCTCATACATAACACACATTTAAACATACCATATACAACATATGTATAGACCTACACCCTTACATATAAGTAACATATAATATTAATCACTGTCCATCTTGAATACATAATGGAAAAGGAAGCTTTAAAGTTCACAAGTTTAATACTGTATGGAAGAAAACTGTGACTGAATCTGGATGTTCTGCTTCGGATACCACGGAGCCCCCTCCCAGAAGGTAACAAGGAAAGCAGGTCGTGAAGAAGATGTGTAGTGTCCCAGACAATCTTCCGAACCCTGCTCAAGGTGCTATGTCCTGAATGGAAAGGAGGAAACTGCCAATAATCTTTTCAGCCATCGTCACCACTCTCTGCACCGCCTTCCTGTCTGAAGTAGTAATTATTAAGCATATCACCAGGAAATGGTCTGGAAATTAGCAAGGTTGACAGTTTCCTTCTTCACTTGCAAGGCATCTTGCAAATGAACCACACAGAGAGAGAGGCTGGGTGTGCACACTGTGATTCCTTTCTTTTTGGTTTGGTTGGACGAACTCAATCAAGAGTTGTTTGTTTAAGAAACTACAAGCATACAAACCCATGACTCTGAATAATATGAAACAGGCCTGTGTTTTTATTGAGTGATTTAGATCACTATTATTTTGTAATTTTTGCAAAATATGTATAAAATGCATACATATATTATACTCAAAGAACATTGCCACCAATTTAAAAGAAAGCAGGGGCTTTGCTTCCTGCCTCCCCATACTCCATAAAAATGTGGGGTGGGAGTAAGGGACTAAAAGAACTTGTCCGTTTAGCATGAAACCATTTGTCCGAGATTCATGGATGAAAACTATATTGGTGAGTGTAATTCACGTAAAAGTGACCCAACAAAGCTCCCTAAATAGATTTCTCAAAGGCCCACTGCTCATGCTGAAGGAAGAAGCATAAGATTATTCAGGATGAGAACAAAGTCAAATAGTACTAATGTAAACAGATAGAAAAACAATATAAACCTCAAGTGACTCATCTAGGAAATTATTTTCTTTGTAAAATCATCATAAAATGCCATCACCTGGTGATCACTATTACTTAAGAATGATGCATGTTTACGATATTCTTACCTTTTGGGATATTAGATCAAAGCAGAGTTTGTTTTCACTGGTACTCAAATTAATGATGCCCTAGGAATACAGATAAATGTTTCATTAAAAATAAGTTATTAGTTGCTATCCTATTAGCTACCTCAAAAATTACGTTCCCTAAAACTTTAGCATTTCGAGAGCCAATAAAGATTCTGGAAAGAGGGTTGTGATAGAAGATACACATGAGTCAAAAGAATTATGTTTCATTTCATTTTTTTGTGAAAGATTTGTAAAGATTTCATTTGCAATCTGCCTATATTTATATTGTCCATTGTTTATTCCATACCATTGTTTATGTTTGGAAACTTCATTTTTCATATCAGATTCAAAGAAACTGCAGGTTAGCATTCTACACAAACACACAGACAGACACAAATTCATTTATTCGTTACTCATGGGGGGCGGGGGGGGGAAGCTTAGCTGTGACTATTTTACCCAAGTAACTTTTATATGAATAAAATGTACTTTATATATTTAACTGCTACTATTTGCTAAGGAGAGATATATTGGTTTATGCTATTTTTTCTTTGCACAAAAGGCCAGTAGGCTAACTTAAATGAGCAAGAGTATTTAAAAATAACTAAAATTAATGGCTAAGAGAGGATCTGAATCCAAACCAAATCAGTTCAACAGTTCACCTATATTACACAGTCTATACTATGGAAGAATGAACTAAAAGATTAGCATTCTAATAATGGGCTTCTCAGCTAAGAAAAATGTAATTAGGTTGATTTTTTTAAAAAAACAAACAACCTCACATTTTGAATGAAGCTTGAAATGAATGTAGCTATTTGAGGTTTATGTAATATAAAAAGATTACACTGATTAGAGCTAGCATAGCTGGTTTTATTGATGGATAGTAATATTAATGCTGCTACAGTTTGGATGCTCTGCTATTTTAAGGCAAAGTGTGTTTGTTTTTACAGTAAGCAGCTCTGAAAGTTCACAGTGACTTTGTGTGGTTGGCATTCTTTCCTGGCATTAAAATTTAGTTTGTATGGTTTAAAATGTTCTTATATGCCATATTTAGGCGAATTAACTGTAAAAACAAGCCATCTTAAAAAAAAATAAAACAAGATTTTTTCATCTAATGTTCATTTGTGCCTGGTGGAGTAAGGAAATTCACATGGAAATTGTGGAGAAAATTATTAAACCACTTTTCCCCTACTGTGTCTACTGCCTAAAGAAAGTTTTTCAAAAAGGTTTTGCCCAAGACTTTTGGTTTGCTGACATGGCCATCACAGATGTCTGGAAGGTGAGCTCTGTCTTCCATGTCTGATTTCGCACCGCTGGGGGACCCTGGAAAGGGTTGAAAGTCGCCCCATAGGGGCGACAAGCGAGGAGGGGATCCCCGCTTGATCGCAGGTGGGCGGTAGCCCTTCCACTCTGTCCGGGGCAGCCCTCCAAACCGGCAAACGAAAGACTGGCCATAGAAATATGGCTCGTCACTAGGCTGCAGACAGCCGAAGTCAAATTTACCATCAGGCAACTATAAAGCAACGCAGATGAGATTGAGTGAGATCTACCTCTCTTAAATCCTATTTTTTCTACCTGCATAAGCTGCTCAAAGTCCTTTCCCCCCTGTGGAGAGAGAAGGGAGATTCTATCCCACCCACTAAAAACAGCAGCGACTGACTATCCAGGGGAGTTTAAAACATTGCAAGAATAACTTGATTCTAATTGGATTTCATCTTTTTAAAAATTTGTGGACTAAAAGATTTTTTTATTCTTACTGAAGATCAACTACACAGAATATAATAGAAGTGGAACAATTAAATACTTTGACAGAAGATTCAACTGATCAACAAACACAGTTAATGGAAAACCCAGAAAAGGGACTGACAACATGGAAAAGGGAAAAGACTTTTTATATAAACCAGAAGAAACCTGAGGATCAACAAGAAGAACAGGCTGAAGAGAAGATAAACAGTTCAGGACAACTATGTCGAGATGGAAAAATAGAGAGACGATTTGTTAATCCTTTCAAAAAAACGGCAACCAGATGGATTTTTCTACTTCAAAAAACATGCATAACGAACACAGGGAGATTTATTTGATGACTTAAAAGCACAGACATAGAAGAAGAGTTGGCAAAGAAAGAAAGCTAGAATAAGACTGAAGAAAATTGGGGTTTTTTACTTATTAGTGAGAATTAAAATAGAACATACCAAAATAGATAAGATGTGTATTTTGAAGACTAGATTTTGTTATGAGCTGATATAAAGAAAACTTTGGTCATTTAAAACTTGGAAGTATAAATACTAACACTTAAATTTGAATATTGATTTGCTTATAAAGGTTAAATGTAAAAGTAATTAAGATATATATATATATATACGTTAAAAATCTATTGATGAATATAAATATGTTTTTACTTAGCTGTTATAATAAAAACAATTAGCTTAAATACGAGATAGTAGATATTAAGAGAAAGAGTGAGGAAGTATTAAATGTTGAAATAAGAGAAATTTTGGTTATTAAATTTAAGATATTTGGAAATTAACAGAAAATAAGAATGTTATATTGTATTATCAATTGGTTGATGTAAGATGATGAGAAATAGAATATATTCAAATAGATAAGACGTGTATCCTGAACATTACATCTTGTGATGAATTTTGATAAAGGGAACTGGGGTTATTTAAAACTTGGAAATTATAATTATTAAATGTAAATATTAATGGAAAACTAAAAATTGGGAAAAACCAATTAGGACATTGTCTATAAAGATTGAATGTTAAAATAACTAGGAAATGTATAAACAAAAAAAAATTGATAAATATAAGAAAGTTATTTTTATTTAATCAATATAATAAGAATTGTATTAGTTTAAATATGAGACAGTAAATACGAAGGGGAAAAGAGAGGTAATATTTAATGTAATAGTTTGAGATCTGTACTAAAGATACTGGTATGTTATTGAATTATCGATTAACTCAGCTGCCATGTTGCTTTTTAAATATTTAAATGTAAAACTAGAAAATCAATAAAATTTTCTTTTAAAAAAAAGTTTTGTCCAAGATGGTTGTTAACTCAATAAATATATGTCTTGGTAGATTTAGAGAATAGCAATTATCTTCCTTTCTGTCCTATATAACATACCAAGATAGTTCATGAATGAACAAATGTCATTCTTTATTTCCTTCTGCATTGGACATATAATCCATAAAACGCTCTCAACATCTCAAATAAGCCTAATTAAGTCATTTAAATTCCCCACTGAGGAACTAAGATACAACAACTTTGTTAAAGCTTTTCTTTCTTGATGGTAAATAATAGTCACTGAAAATCAGGATAAAGAATAATAGAATAACAAAGTTGGAAGAGAGTCTTCTAGTCCGCCCCCCTGATCAAGCACAAGCCTCTAAACCATTCCAGATAAATGGTTGTCCAACCTCTTCTTAAAAATCCCCAGTGATGGAGCTTATTTAGAGACAAGTAACAACAAGACTTTTTACTCACACTGGGGTTTTTATCCTCATCATACTTGTCAGCATGGTAGAGCATGTACTCCTCGTTTGAGGACATCGAAACAACAGCCATATTGCCTCGGACAGAGAGATAAGGGCTGCTTTGAAAATCAACATGCAACCCCTTAGTTGAGCTGTCCAATCTAGTTTGCCCTAACTGGAGGGCCTTGGCTTCTTCTGACAGCTGTTCTCCTATTTCTGTGGAACTGGAGAATGTTTGGTGAAGGTCCACATTCGGAGCTACTCCAGTTGCAGAAGAGTCCTGATTGCCCTGCTTTAAGACGCTCAGCATTTGGGCAAAGACATTGAACATACGGAAATCATGATCCCGTTCCAATTCAAAGCGTCGCTGCTCCAGCTGGATTCGGCGCTCCTCCACTTCCAAGTCTCGCTGGAGACGGCGTTCCTCCATCTGCAGAAAGCGCTCCTCCATTTCCCTCTGGGCAGATAACGTCTTCAACAGCAGGGCATCCACAGGGTCCTTTAACCGCTGGCCTTTCCTTTTCTTCCTCAAGCGGTGCAAAGTAGAAAAACCCGGCCATGCCCCTAGACTTTGGATCCGGGATGAAGAAGCTGCATTGGGTTCCCTGAAACCTAAGAGTAAGCAGATTTAAGGATAATTAAACCTAACAACGTCCTTTATTTGCAAAGATCAAGCCTGCTTGAATGATTATTTGCTAATCTTTAATTATCTGACTCTTGACAAACTCTGAGTAAATGAGTTACTACACTAAGTAATATTGAGCAATGTGCATTCTTCTTTATATAATAGGTAACGTCTGTTGCACAGAGACAATGCAGCTGAAACCCCAGTGTACTATAACATAAAATATATGATTACTGTGGCTAGATTTACTGAATACACTAAACTATAAATGAGGGGGGGGAGAAACCATTTTGGCTTGGTGGGTCATGCAAATCTAGGCACCATCCCAGCATTTCTCCTCAGACCAAGACTATTGTACAGTGCCACATAAATTCAATATGCAAAATGACTGCGTGCAAAGGTTGAGAGATATCATAGTCTTACCAAACCTCCAGTCATAATTATAAGTGGCTCCAAGTAAAGGATTTGGGTCCTGTAATAGATTATAACACTCATAAGGCTTCATTAAAAATAGGCACCTAAGTGAATTAATCTGCTTCAGCTAAATAACTTCCATCACCATGTGGAATTCATCCTATATAGAAGATTATCTCAAAAAAGTTTCTCTTCCAACTTCATTTACATTTTCTGCTGAAATGGAAGGCAGAGCCCATTGTACAGTTATGTCTGAATGCATTACTCTGGATATACTACATAGAAGTATATCCATCATTTGAGACCATCATTTTCTTTATACACTGGGCTGAACAAGAAATAGTATATTATATGAGGCAGGGGAATCGAGCTGCTGTCAACATTTTGTAGTTTGTGATGTCTCAGTGACAGCATTCAGTCTTTTTGTTTTTGATCTCTTATGTTATATATAACACCCTGTGGTATATCAATATAGTTCTGGCTCTAAGCATTTTAATAAAGCTAATTGGTTTTTTAAAAAAAAACTTACTAGTTTGTTTACTGCTAAACAAGCTAATATGATGGGCTGAATCTGTATTTCCACATATATTTCTACAAAATATAAGTGGCAGTAACAAAAAAAAAATACTTAAAAGAAGCACTGAGAATTGTGATCCCATCATCCTGGATGATACTAAGCTCTGGGTAAAAGTAGCACATCATTTTGAGACCTCAGAAGAATAACGGTGATTTCCTAAAACATTGTTAAATGGACAATTCTATCTGAAATATGTCATCTCTTGCAGATTCTAAGACCCAACGACTTCTGAGAAACCAAAACTGATGAAAAAGACAATATTTGCCAAGTAACCATCTTATTTTATGAATCCCAGTGTTTTGCTCTCAACGAAAAATAGCTCATTTCCTAAATTTTTCCATCACCAATCAATCATCTTCTGCTCAGATTGCTAAAAGCAAGTTCCCAAAGAATGCTCTTTCCTCTTGGCCTAAAAATAATAAAAGAATTCCACCAATCCACAGTCTTACATACTACAAGTTTCTTCTGCTTTAACAAAGCAGTTGGTCTTATGGATCTGGGAAAAATGAATGAAGAGAACAGTAACAAAAACTCACTTTGCGACCGCTTATGTAGACTTGAAGGTTTTAAGTAACTAAGTACTGTATATTTGCTTGGTGGAGTTTAAACCTCCAGGGTACTTTTGACCTTGTAATCAGAACTAATTGATCTTTATGAGATCCAAAGTCCATCTACTTCTGTCCTGAATTAATTTAAACCTCAGTTTTAAATATTGTCTGTCATGATTTAAAGCTACTGTTTGCACATCAAACAGGACACACTGCAAAAGTCAGTTTCCAAGCATGCTTCAGTTGTGTTGATCCAAAATATTTTGGATAGATGTAAAAATATTTCTGGTAACAAAGTTACTCATTACCAGAGACTATTTTGACTATTTGCTATTTCATCATTTCACTCCCCCAAAATAGGCTGATTTGGGAAAGATTTAGACAACACTGGAGAGGGGGAGCATTCGGCCTCTACTCCGACTCCATCCATTGGGGTCTACCTCTGAGTGTTGTAGGCACCATTTTAATAAGAGAAAGTGATTCTTCCTGCTTCACCCAGTCTGGATAACTGTGCAGAATGAATCAGGGTCTACTGTTTACCCACAGTAAAGCAGATTGGCAACAGAAAGAGTTCACAACCCTCTGAATAGCAAAATAATGACAATTCCTCCAGGGCCCCAAATTCTCCAAGCATAGAAGAGAAGGTGAATAACCAACTCCATAATCAACTCTCTGCATGGCACTGCTTAGTGAGGACAAGTTAGCAGACCAACTTCACTTCTTGCACTGTGATCCCATTTCTCTTTTCCACAGTGTTCAGTTGAAGGAGAGAAAGGAAGTGAGAAACACTCCCTAAAAATGGCAGAACTTTAAGAGGAAGTATTGGGGAGGGAAGAAGGATTAATGGCGGGGGCAGTCGTGTTCCTCTCTTGGGGTTTTTTTTTTCCAGACTTTATTGCAGGACTCTGGAAAAGAGGATTACAATTTACGGTGTGCTGTTTGATTGCTTCCCATCACCCAAGCCGTTTTGGCAGATGCCCATTTAACAGGATGTCCACTTGGGTCCTGCAAAAAGATCCAGCCCTTCTCCTCAGGGCAAAAGCAATTCAGGTTGCAAGAAGATAGGAAACCTTTCATAATGTCAAGCATCTCTGTGGACAATGAAACCCATCCAGGAGCTTTAGGGTTCCCGCCACCCAGCTTTCCTTCTGGTCCTTCAAGTGTGTTCCTAAAGAAGGAGGGTAGAGGCTCTGCAGGATGGCCTGAATCCATGCAGCGTTCCTACCTGAGAGGGAGACAGTGGTCTCAATGGGGACCTCCACCCTGGAGATGGGAGAGTCAGTCTGGGACCTCTCCAGGAAGGCCCTGTCTATCTCGTGTTCCTCAGCAGAGCCCCCGCAGGGCTGGTAAGTAGTGAGAGAAGGCAGGGGCTCAGGCATCAGGCACTGGTCTTCTGAATCCACCTCCTCGCATTTGATCTCCATCTGCTCGGCGGGCTGAGAGGGTGGGAAGGCCAGCGCAGAAGAGGGGCCCAAGTGGGGATGGTAGCTCTCCACCACCCCGCCCGGGATCCCTTGCTGCGCCAGCACGTAGCCGCCGCTGCCGTTGCCGGTGGCGCTGTAGACGAGCGGAGGGCGGCTGGCCAGGACGCGGTCCATCACCTCGTAGAACTTCCACGTCCTGCCCCCGCGCGGAGCCTTGTTGTTGTCCTTGATGCGCCGGTACTCCAGCTTCATTTTCTTGATCTTCTCCCGGCACTGATCGCCGGTGCGGTGGATGCCCTTCTCGCGCAGCACTTCGGCGATCCGGTTGAAGACGTGCTGGTTCCGCAGGCAGCTCTCCAGCTCCGCCTGCACCGACTCGTCAGCCCACAGGTGCAGAAGCTCCACTACCTCGGGGTCTGACCAGTTAGTGCCCCGCTCGTACTTCTTGCCTCGAAAATCCATGCTTTCTCGGCGTCCGATTTCTCCACCGCGCCCACCTCCCGGTTAAGCATCAGAAATCAAAAGCCCCAGAGAAAAAAGGCGCACGGAGCGGAGGAGAGGCGAAAAGCCATGAAGCGGCTATTGCTTGACCCTCGCCTTCCTGGGACTGGCACGGGCTTGGCTTGGTTCAATTTATTAGTCCTGGGAAACCTGGCGCTTTTGTTCATTGGGGAAAGGAAAGGGTGAGAAAGATGGCCTTGTTTTACCTACCCTTTTCTGCAGCTCTAGAAGCCGCAGAACGGATCGGATAAGTTGGCACGGCTCGGCACGGATTCCAGCTTTTTTTTTTTTTTTTTTTTACAAAGCGAGTTCCCGGGTAAAGCAAGCTGGGGGCGCAAGTAAGCATGTTCACATCCGGTGTGATGGCACATGCGTGCTTCCTTTATTCCGGGATAACTTTGGTCCGTGTCAATCACACGATCCGCAACTCGGCCAGGCTGGGCTAAACGAGGCTGAAGCGCAGGAATGCATTGGGGCGGGGCCTCTGTAGGCCACGCCTCCGCAGACCGCCCTCTTTGAATAACTCGAGCGAGAGAGAACGATTACGCGGAAGGAGAGAGAGCGAGACAAATTGAGCGTCGTTGTTAAGTAACTGAAGTGTGTGTTAAACGCAGTGATCCAAGTCTCTGAAAGTATTACAATTGCTAGAGAGGTGAAATTGTTTTTTTTTTTATTTTTACAGCGACTAAACCCGGTTTTTTGATTTTGGAAAAGGTCCCGTGTAGTCTTCAGGGGTATAACGTAAGCAAGAAGATTGTATAGATGCAGTCACTGAATGTAAAGCTCAATTTAAGGTTGTGTTTACTTTTACCTGCCCTGGCAGTGATTTAGGCAAAAGATAGACAGAATGTAAGAATTAACCACTCTTGGTTGAGTTCACTATAACTTGCAAAGCCATAAACCAAAATTTACAAACTCAGCAGTTGGTTTGATGTAGCATGCTAAGACACACACAAGCAAGCCAAGTTATGTGTAAGGCTTTATGTGAACTTGGGACTTGCATATTACACTAATTATACTATGGATTATATGGTTCGGATTAGAGTAATGTGTGATCCCTGCAGTCAATCAGAAAACAGATTTGTAAATCGAGCATTACGATATTTAACACTATGCATGAGATGAGCAAATGGTGGCTTATTCAACAAACCATAATTTAAAATGTGTGGCTTATGTGTGAATCAGCTTTCTAAAAAGTGGCTCAGGCTGATTCATGCATCATGCTAACTATGCTTTGTTTAATTATTTATGAATAAATCACTAAGGTGACCAACCGTCCTCCTTTCGTGAGTTCTGTCCTCCCTTGAAAAGTGTCCTCCTACATGTCCTCCTTTTCAATATTTGAAGACTAATCTGCAGGGCTTTTTTTTCTCATAGAACGCTCAGAACGGCGTTCCGGCACCTTTTTTTGATGGTTTTTTTTCAACTTTTGCA